TAATCTTTTCTTCTGTCCCTTCCAAACCATTGTGATTGAGTTATGGTCAGCCCTTGTATTTGTTTCAATGTTTATATCTTGACTTTTAGCTAATATATATGTTGACATCCACATCATATCTATTCTGGACCATGACATACGTCTACCTGAGTAAAATGTGTATCGATTTTCCTTCAGATATCTTCCTCCCCAGGTATCTTGAAGACTTACTGTATTTTTCAGAGTATAAGATGCACCCAGATTTTCACCCTCCTTTTGGGGGGAAAAGGTGTGTCTTATACTCCAAAAAATTCAGTAAGTCTTCAAGATACCTGGGGAGGAAGATATCTGAAGGAAAATCGATACACATTTTACTCAGGTAGACGTATGTCATGGTCCAGAATAGATATGATGTGGATGTCAACATATATATTAGCTAAAAGTCAAGATATAAACATTGAAACAAATACAAGGGCTGACCATAACCCAACCACAATGGTTTGGAAGGGACAGAAGAAAAGATTAAGATGGACATTAAATCAAACAATATTAAATGAAAAGGAGTTTCAACAACATATGGAGAAGGAATTTACTTTTTTCTTTAGAGAAAATAAAAAAGAAGATGCCTCACTACAAAATGTGTGGGACACAGCGAAAGCATACATACAAGGGTTGGCAATGACTTATTTGGGAAAAAAGAATAAAAGAAAAGACAAATTCAAAAAGAATTGTTAGGAGAGTATGAAAGTATAAGAAGTTAGAGATGGAATTACAGAAGGATGCACAAAACAAAAGGGTTAAAAATCAAATGGATTTGAAAAAAATAAATCTAATTTAATTGAAGAAGAGGATTTGGCATTTAAAATAAAGTCTTCTAGGTAAAATATCTTTAAGAATGCAAATAAACCAGGAAGATGGTTGGCATACAAATGAAAAAAGAGGAGAGAGAAAGCTAATCAATCAACTGATGTAGGAGGATGGAATGATACGTTATTGAAATGAGGAAATGAAAATTATTGTCCAGAAATATTATGAAAAATTATACAAACAAGAGGAAGTCTTTGAAGAAAAGATAAAACAATATCTAGAAAAAGCAGAATTACCTAAAATACCAGAAAAATATAAAAAGGCACTTGAAGAAAAAATAACAATGATGGAACTAACAGAGGGAATTAAAAGAAAAACATGGTAAGACACCAAGATAAAACAAAACTCCCTTATACAAATGCTCATAAAGCACCTAATTAATTAGTTGCATGAAAGCGGAAACCCCTCCCACACTACATCATCGCAGGGAAACAGAAACAGAAACTTCATATACAGATCACTCCATTCCTTCCTCCCATCCAAATGCCAGCATCCCAGTAGAAATATCTGGGACCTGACAGAACCCATTCATCTCTATGACTGCTTAAGTACTGAAAGACATGCCACCATAATCTTTCTCTTTGTTAGGCTAGCCATAACCTAGTTCCCTAAACCATCCATGGTATGGTTGAGCCTCCAGACTCCTTATCATTTTTGTTGCTTTTGTCTGCACACTTACTAGGGTCACGGCATTTTTTTTTATCATGGCAATCAGAACTGGATGCAGTATTCCAAATGTGATCTGACTAGTGTAGTATAGAGCCGTAGTATCATTTCTCATGATTTTCATGTTATTCCTCTAGGATTGCATTGGCTTTTTTACTGCAAAATCCCCATTTCCTCCCAATCAGCTGGGACTCAGGAGGCAGAGAATAGATGGGGGCGCGGCCAGTCAGAGGTGGTATTTACTGGTTCTCCAAACTTCTCAAAATTTCTGCTAC